CACGGACACTCGAAGGTCGAAACATAAGTCCCCGTTTTCGGACTGCGTCCGAACGGGGACTAATAATTTCACTATAAATAAGCCAGTAAAAACTTGCGACATTTTCAAAAAAAAATTGGCCATTCTTTTGGCACATAATAATAAAAACATGAAAAAGATGGTCTATTAAAACATGGAATCATACACAGAACATAAACTAGACAAAATTTGTCAACATATGCATATGAGAATGAAACACAATACCATTCAAAATCCACACAAGCAGCACAACAATAGTACATGTAGGTAAAAAAAAAAGTCACTGAAAATTTTAAATAATCATAAATTCAGACAAATTTTATATTGAAGCCAAACAAAAGTCTAACAAAAAGCTTTTTAAAGTTACACAGAAGCAAGAAGGTCATAATAAAATAAATCATGCGTTTATTTTGTTTACTCCCTACTGTCTAAAACATATGCAAGACCCCAATTACACTGTACAAAGTTTGTAAGGATATTTTTTTAGCATTCTCGGCATCCCCCATCTCTAAAAGTAACATTCCTGATGTTTCCAGTGCCCTAGTGTTTTCTGGATCCAGTTCCAAAGCTCTCTGGCAAAACTTTTGTGCTAACTCATAGTTGAATGTATCTATATAATCCTCTGTCTGTAAATAAATAAAATGCAATTAAAGTTCCATAAACTTTTAAATTTGTTTAAAAAAAGCAAGTCAGTAAATCTCTGAAATAAATGGTTGCAAATTGCCATTTTTTGTTATAGTCCTCCTCACTATTTGTTGTACTACCGGGGGTTATATATTATAGTACAATAATATTGTTGAAAAGTTACGTTCAAAATGTCTCGTTACGTTTTTTCGAGCGCAATAGCCACAATAATTTTAAGCATCTTGTAAACATCACTCATTATTTACAAGATACTGACGTGTGGAAGTTACGCTTGAAACGGCATGGCTACGAGATGAGATAAACTATGCTATAATCAACCTGAAAAAACTTAAATGTTTGAGGGATTTAGACAATTTTTCCTATATACCACGATTGTTGATAATGAAATTACCATTCTATGTACCTTATCAAGCAACTGGTCTATGTTGTACTTAGATTTAGACTCTGCAACAGTCAAATCAGGCTCTAAATTCTTACTGACAACTTTTTTTTTTGGTCTTGTAGATTTTTCTTCTTGTGAAGTGTTTTTCTTGAGAGCTGTAATCATATAAAAACAAATTAATTAGTCTTTGAATTAAAAATTCAACTCACTGTTCACAGAAAAAATAATTTTTTTGACATTTTTTCAAAAACTTGTTCAGTCAACTGGCTTACCGGTAATATTCAAAATATTGTGGTAAATTTTGGATAGTTATCACAAGGCATTACATTTGAGAAGAGACAACTTTGCTCACCTTACACCTATGAGAGCTAATAATCACAGTTTCAATTCAAACTATTTTGTAGAGATTTTAACAGCATAGTTTAATAATAATAAATTCCCCTATCACATTAGGGACGACGTCAAAAGATTGATGTCAGATAAAAAACTTAATTCCTTTAGTTTTTTCCCAAAACCCCCCACTGAAACTTAATTGATAAATATTGATCACGGCGTCAGACTACATTCCCCATTTAATAAAAAATGATAATTGGACAGTAGTATGGCATAGCAGTTGGTTGTAATAATGAATGGAATATACACTTGTGCAAACTACTTCTCTGGGTTCTGCGCATGCTCTAGGTCTATGCCCTGAAATTGAACTCAATTGACACACATATCGGACCAAACCATTTTCTCGTCTTGGATGTGTTTTTTTTCATTTTCTGTTATTTTTGTCATGGTTGATTTAAAAAAAACCAACTACAAATACTCTAAGGATTTTTTTAGTTCATTAGAAAATAAAATCGTTTTTGTAGGATGGAAATTTTTTGAGGTCAAAACCCCCCATCCCCAAACTAAAGCAAATAAGTTTTTTATCCGACATCGATCTTTTGACGTCGTCCCTTACTATGATCATTACATCGCCCTAACCCCTTGAGCGCCGTATTTTTCACTGTCAAATTTGTTTATTTTGGACGTATTATTTACTGAAAATATTTTTAAAAAAACACACCAAAACAAAAAACAGGAAAAAAATTATGCAGCTTTTAGTATGACAAAAGTTGGTGATCAAAGAGCTATTTTTTAAACATTTCTTAATTGAGCCTTCTGGTCGAAACTTTTATAAAATGCTGATTATCAGACTGTCAATCTTTGTAGTGTATGAGGAGACGTATACAATTACCTGGTACACTGAAATGATGTTTTTATGATAATTTGAATGAACTTCCATACACACAGTTTTAACAAAACCTACCCAGACATCTTAACCTTTTCACCACTAGACTTTCTCACCCAAATTTTTCTGAACTTTTTTCCTTAAATTCTTCAATATTTCTGGAAATGAACCCTAATTTTGGTGCCAACAGACAAATTTTAATTTTTACTCAAACAAATTTGCAATCTTCTGAAGGAAAATGTAGGCTATAAACAAGATTATTTTGTGAATTTGTCATGAAAAGATGGAACTGATGGTGAAAATATACACATATTCTATACGTACATTTTTACATCCATACGGCAATAAGGTTTGTACATTTTGTGTTCAATGCAACACTTCATGATTAGAAAACAAAATTTTCACAGATTATAGGTATCTCATTCTATTAATTAAAATTTTATAATTTTATAATAAATACTGCCCTCCCCCGGGTTCAATTGAAATATGTAATTGCGAGGAGTAGACAATATTGAGTTCTTCAAACCAATGATTATCTCAACATTATCTACACCTGTACTAAATACTTTTATATGAATATGTTCTAATGTCTGCGACAAAACACTTTTTCAATTAAAACATTTTCTGATTGAATAACATTGAATTAACTCATTATTAATATTAGTTTACACTCGCTATGTCATTGTTAGATTGGTCAATTTGAATTCTAACAGCCACTTTGAATTTAAAAAATATTTTCTATATTTAAAAAAAAAAAATTTATAAGGCCTAAGATTTGTTGTTGTGCACTTTAATAAAATAATTAACAACATTAAAACAACAAATTCATTTCTACTCAATTCTACAACCCCTGGCCTACTGCTAATAATTGCTTATTCATCACTAAAATACCACAGTTCCTCTATAGGGTCTATAGAGGGACTCTGGTTATACAGTTGTATACCGTAATTACAATATATTATATATCTGACACCGAAAACGAAAGAATTTACACACAAAACATTGTGTGTCAAAAAGGTTACGGGTACTGACAAGACGCCGCAAAAAAATGTCCCTTGTTTTCTGATTTTCACATGATTTAAAATGTTTGACCCCTGAAGTGTCATTTACGTCAAGACCGAATTTGGCCCGTAGATTTTAGATGGTTTTGAGCAATAGACGGCATCATAGGCCTACACATCGGCAAGCCACTGACTAATAAGTAACAATACGGCCAAGAAAACCTGTGTATAGATGTTGCGGACTGTCAAATTAACATATGTCCCAAGTCTATTCTTCCCACACAATTATTCGTACAAAAGTTGTTTAGTCAGATTTATTAGGCTAGCCTGATACTAACTCGTCCAATACACACAACAAGATCTGAACAAAATGTATCAAATCATGGTCACACACTCATAGTGAATCCTAGTCATTTGTTGTATCATGGAGGTAATAATAATATTACCTCTATGGTTGTATCAAACTTTGCAGTACGTTAATCTGTCAATTGTCAAATCAAGTTACTCATATTTCAAGATTATAGTGTAATGTTCTTAACAATTTTAATTAATCATGGTAAAAGTTGTTTATTTCTGAATATCGGGGAACACAGTAAATAATGTTGTAAGGACATCATTTTGAGCTATCCGATTGTATTTTATATGCATTAAGCATGGTTGTTTTGTTACCAATATATAAAGGAAGTCACCCTGCACAAGATCGTACGGCTAATCAAAGGCAATGAGACGAAAGTAAATTGGGACGAATCGACTTGTGGGACGAATGTGTTGGGACGAATCGACTTGAATCTATAGATATAACCTCAGAGTTGACCAGGGTCATCCGCATTAATTAGAGTTAATTAATTAGAGTTTGTCAATGCACTACTGAATACAGGGTTATCTTATGTCACCACATCAAAGACACGCGTGGCACTGCCAGACCCAACCGCTCCAGACTGGAACTTGAACCAGAACGATACATCACAGAGGAACTGTGGATGCATGTATGGCCAGTGACAGTCAATATGGTGGTACTCAGAAAACTTATCGTTACTTGATGCCAGGGATTTAGATTCAACCATGTTTACCTTCACGATTCTAATCTCACCTCTCTTTTTCTGTACCAGCTTAGCTTTTTTCTTCCTCAATTGGTCTTTTTTACTTCTCCCCATTTTAGTTTTATAAATGTGATACGTCGCGAACCATGTGTGAAGCAACAATTTTTGAGCATGCGCAAAAGAAAGAAATGGCTTCATTTAAACTCCCTAAGCTTTTAAATGTTATTATATTATTGCTACTTTGTTAAATTTAAGTTGTTTCCATAACTGTTTTTGTTACCCAACAATATATTTGGATGTATTTAACGGTGTCCTTACAAACATTAAATCAGGATAACAGACTGTAAAATTGTCTCTGTAAATATAATTTTATAGGGCTAGGGAGCAAAAATGGGGAAACCCGGAAGTAAAAACGAAACGTTGTTTGTCGTCTGCCACTGTGAGATTTGATCTGACTTAAGCAGGTAAATGTTCGTCATGTAGCTACAGACGACAATGTCATTAATAGTGAAAAATCTTCAGAGAGTTGTTTCGTTCAACATTGGTCGACTAGAACGAGATTTGGGCATCATCCGACAATTAATGGGGGTAGAGACGTACGATGTGGCCGTACTGTGCGTAGATGACAGAAAAATACAAGAGCTGAATAGAAATTACCGTGGACAGGGGGTGCCAACGGATGTCCTGTCATTCCCTGCATATGAGGCAAGTAGTATCTGGAATAGTAGTTACTGTCTTGTTTTGACGTACAGTCACTTGAATAAATCTATCAGTACTATTTTTTATTATTTTTTCTTGCTACTGATGTAATAGTACTATGGTACTATTTTTATTAATTCTCTTGGATTCTCTTAGCCATTACTATAATAATGCTAGTAATATTATAGTAATAGTGGCGACAAATGCGGTAAAAATTCACCAAAAATAGATTTGTTTAGACTAATTCATGTGACCGTGTCTACACAGTGTTTACTAAATTTAAACAAAATCCCAAACGCCATTGTAGACCAAATTCAATCCAAACTTATATCCCCATTTTAGACATAAACCGAATTTCAGTACATGAAACTGTAGATCTGATATCAATATTTAATTTTGAGAATCATTCTTTTTAATGTATTATATTATGTATTCAAATTTACTTGATTTGAAGTGAATTTTGGTATGAATGTTTCTCATTGTAAAATTGTCCTAGGGAGTACATAGACTCACACTGAATAGTAATTTCAACACTATCATCTGCACTATACAATCATATAGATTCCAGGGAATCTTCCCTAAGGTAATGCTACAATTGTATTTTTGTCTCAGATTGCGTCTCCAGGTCTCTTACCTGACATCTCAGAAGATGAAGTACCCGACCTTGGTGACATGTTTCTTGGTCTTCCATATATACAACATCAGTGTCAGCAAGATGGAGGAAACCTAAGTGAAGTATTGCCTGTAAGTATGCATGTGTATACCAGTCTGCTCTCTAAGATCATATGACATGATAATGACACAAACAGATTTAATGTGATGCAACTAGTTGTGTTAATTCACTGGCGCTTCATTGAGGCAGAAGAAAACCATACATTGATGAAGTGATCCAGAAAATCATGTTGTTTTAGTCAAAATATGTGTAAAAACGAAGTGAATCAGCGGTCACACCATTTTTGATTGTGCCTCAAGTCACCACACAATTTTATTATTAAGACTGACCTCCCCAGCAATCAACAAACTGCCTCAACTTGATTTTGGAAAATTCGATTTTGACTCGAAACAAGATCAGTCCTGTTAGAGCGCACACTGGTGTACATCTAGAATTCTCTCATTAAAAAGAATACACCATATGTGTCTTAGCATTGTGCTTAAGGTTTAGGTTGATATACTGTATATCTATCTATTACTTTACCCTAATCCAAGACACTTTAATTTATTTATCAAGTTATTTTGACTTGATACAGTTAAATTAGATTTAATTGTTATATATTATTGCACTTTACCTGAGTCTGATTAAATTTCATTCCTAAATAGAATTGAGGTGCTCCACATATTCTGGTTCTGGTTCCATATTATGTCAATCAACATTCATCAACCAATATATTTGATGTGGATTTACTCTGTTAATAGAATTTAGATAGCCTCAGAGATCTCAAATAGTGTTTCTTTTCTACAACACCGTCCTATCCACTGTTCCCTTGGCCTAAATAACCATTATACCTAGGCAATAGTAAGTGGTTAGTGTGAATCAGAGAGGTTGTGGTTTCTATGCCTGGATCTGACTGTTTATACCGGTACTAAGCAGCATACTGTAGAATACTTTATTTTCGCTTTGATTTAATTTTCACTATTTTCACTGAAGGAATGATTCAGTGAAAATAAAATCCAGTGAACATACAATTTTCCCTATATTCTACATTCAACTTGTCAAAAATCAGTGAAAATAAATTCTATAAATTCACCAAAAATATCTTTTCAGCGAAAATTAATTCCAGCTAAAATAAAGTATTTTACATCAGAATAGAGTAGTATTAGCAGTATGAATGACGTCAAACCCTGCCTTCAAAACATGTGGTATTAGTTGTGGAAGACTAGTTCATAAGTGGACTTGCAATTAACACAAAAGGAAAACAAAGTTGAAGAGACTAATGTAACTTTAATGTAAAGAACCTAAAAACCAAAACTAAGGTAATTGGAATGGTGGACAAAATTGGAACACTATTTGAGGGCCAGAAGCGAGTCATGAGCTGGCCATATGCATGTAAGGTTTATTAATTAACTTTAAATGATGTGGGCAAGAATAATATTTACTGATACTGGACTTTTTCTCACCTACAAGGTGATTGCAACCCATGGATTATGTCATCTTATTGGTTATGATCATAAAACAGAAAATCAGTGGAAGCAGGTAAATTATTTGAATAATTCTAAATAAGTATTTGTATTATACATGTACATTTGTATATTGTATATTTATAGAAACAAATCATTTTCTAATTAGTCATTGTATGGTACAATGTTTTGATATTCCGAGATCTTTTTGTTATACTTCTTTTTTGTTTTACAAAAAAATATATAATTAATTTTCAATTTAGTCTTTTTAACGCGATCGCGAAAAATAGTGACTGCGAAAGAAATCCTGACTGGACGCATCTGCAGGCGACCCCCTGCATTGTAGTGAAAACCGGAGCGGAATCACTTTGGTGATTATGCTAATTAAAAATGTTGACTAGCATTGACAACAAATCAAACTGCAGCTGTATACGTCATTTCTTATCTATGTTAATGTGCGTGACCTTTCACTTCTGAGGTCCCGGCGATTTTGAAACACTACTTATATACATTGGACATTTAAATCGATCAATGACATCATGAATAATTAATATCAGTCAAATGTCCACAGATGCATCTAGTCGGGATTTCTTTAGCTGTCACGTTAGTTTTCACGATCACGATCATTAAAAGGGCTTAACAAATTATTTCCCGACTTTGCCAGTCTATATGGAATGGTGTCAGTGACTGGCTGAATTACCGGTATTGACTCTATTAACAACCTTGTTGGCTGAGACTTTGCTATTGGTCAGATTTACATTTGTGACCTGGAATAAATGGTGTTACTAAACCCAGTATTATTTATTTTACTCATAATTTATTATTCTAAACCATTTTTATTCCTATGTGCAGAGCACACAATGGAAATCTTTATAGTTACCCTGTCAGTAAGTCTGTTCCAGTCTGTTTCAGTATCACAGAAACTTCTGTTTGGATTTTCATGAAACTTGGTATATAGATACTCTGGGATAATGCACAGATCTGATTCTTTCTATAAAGCTTTCTAAATGGGAGTGGGAGTCACATAATGCATATAATAACTTTTTATTAACAATTCAGATGTTTGACTAAGTGAAAAATACTTATGTCAGAATGGTCCCATAATGAAACACAAAATTATTTCAGAGTTCCACATGCCATACTATACCATGGTTTACTGAATCGTACAGTGTGAACAAAATACATTGCTTATTACCATTTAATTACTATTATTTTTAATTTTTTGTACTTATTCTCGTTTATTTCAGATGTTTGACAAAGAACTTAGCATATTTCAAGAATACAACAAACTGACTGGTTTGAATTTAAAACCTCTCCTAGATAAAATGGAGTAAAAACAGTTGATGACATGAACAAACAATACCTGTCAACTACAGTGAACACTAAAGGCGAAAAATACATGTTAACTCTGAGTATTCTTGTACTCAAATGTTGTTATACTAATATCTCAGGAATACTTCATTGATAAACAAGTATATGACAAACACAACTGAACCCTAAATACTCTGATAACCCTAAATAATTTTCGGCACAAGTCTATGCATATTTATTTGCTTGCATATTTTCATAACACTGCATCATAACAGTAGATTCAATGTTTTTAAAAATTGAACTCAATACATGTATTAATAACATAAATGTCTGGTGATATTTTGGAATAAATTACTGTAATTTAACTTGTTAAATTTGTTTCCACCATTTTTATGTTGTATATGCAGATACTATGAGAAAAAGATATACCGGTACATAAAATATATATATTTTTATCCCCTGACTGAGCACAATTTCCGTCTGCCCATCTGTTCGTCACATTATCTCAGATGTTCATAGACCGATTTCCAAAACTTGGTACTTAGTTGATACATGATGGTATACATAGGCCTCAGATTTTCTGTTCTTATTTGAAATCGCCAACTGACAACCCATGTTTGATTCCAAAATTAGTCTAAAAATTTAAGCTGTCTGAATAGAATATTGAATATTGGTGGACATACTGAAGCTGATCCATTATTTGTCAGATGTCTGTGAGTTGTGTTTTAAAAGGGTAAGAAATTCTCAGCGATCAAATCTATGTTTACCCCAGCTTCTTTTGTTTGTTTCTATTCTCGGTAGTGAGGCAGAGGAAGCTTGGGCAATCTATATTCAATCAGTGGATTTACTTGAAATTTTTTTTGAAGAGGTGGTCAATACTGATATGAATCCATGTTGGTTTGTCTGTGATTTAAAAAAAAATACATGCATATATCCAATTTAAATCGACAATGTGGGCATCGGTTATTTTATTGGTCATGATTCATGATCAAGGATTACAATTGTAATCCAGTGAAATTAAATACCATGATGAAAGTCTGGTTCATAAAAGTGGGGGGTTGAAACATATATAACGATTTCCGTATTCCAACTCCCGTGCATTGAGAAACATGATTAACATTTCAGATGCTCGGCTGCTCTTTGCTTCAACTGACATTTATTTTTATGCGACTAGATTGGTGGCCAATCAGAATCCATGATTTGCAGTTATTGGAGTGACGAAGACAAAACGAGAA